TGTAAAAGTTCTATCCAGAGACATTGAAATCCGAAAAAGTAGAGAAACTTTATGATATAACGGAGAGTGTAAACCTAACCTAAATCTAACCTGCCACACCTGTCAAGTTTCCGGTTAACCTTGATTCTGAGTTCATTCGCATTGTGAACAGATCGAAAATCTGACACCAATTTCTTTTCTTTTTTTTTTGTAATTTTGTAATTTCTTCTTTTTGTTATAATTTTGGAAACCATCTTGTTATTGGTGTAACAAGTAACTTGATTTATGACAATCGTTGGCAATTGTTTTTATCTATCGGTAATTAAAGCGTGAAATCCATCCAGAGACATTGAAATCCAAAAAAGTAGAGAAACTTTATGATACAACGGAGAGTGTAAACCTAACCTAAATCTAACCTGCCACACCTGTCAAGTTTCCGGTTAACCTTGATTCTGAGTTCATTCGCATTGTGAACAGATCGAAAATCTGACACCAATTTCTTTTCTTTTTTTTTTGTAATTTTGTAATTTCTTCTTTTTGTTGTAATTTTGGAAACCATCTTGTTGTTGGTGTAACAAGTAACTTGATTTATGACAATCGTTGGCAATTGTTTTTAACTACCGGCGATTAAAGCGTAAAAGTTCTATCCAGAGACATTGAAATCCAAAAAAGTAGAGAAACTTTATGATACAATCTAACCTGTCACACCTGTTAAGTTTCCGGTTAACCTTGATTCTGAGTTCATTTGCATTGTGAACAAATCGATTATCGAAAATCTGACACTTTGCATCAATTTCTTTTCTTTTCTTTTTTTGGCAAGACATACAAAAATGACTTCCAGCCCGTCGAATTCGATATTCTTGTTGTAATTTTGGAAACCTGTTATTGATGTGTAACTTGATTTATGACAATCGTTGACAATTGTTTTTATCTATCGGCGATTAAAGCGTGAAATCCATCCAGAGACATTGAAATCCAAAAAAGTAGAGAAACTTTATGATACAACGAAGAGTGTAAACCTAACCTAAACCTAACCTAAAATATAGTTTACACTCAGAGTAACTATGACTTCAAATATATTTCATTCTCATCGACTGTCAAATCGACAGTCTCTCGTAAACTGTTTAACATCATCATTGCATGAACCTATTGATTAAATTATACATAAAAAGCACACAATAGTGAATTTGTCAAATTTCGTTCCGTGTGAAAAATTCTACTTGAGCCACCAACAAGGATTTGAACTTGCGTTACATTGGCGAGAAGGAATTTAAATGTCTTTGCCAATAAAATTCTTCTAACCTAAACCTAACCTAAACCTGCCGCGGAAATCTTGAATTTCAAGGTCAAAATTTCTTTTCGCATTGTATTCTACTCATAACGAAGGTAAAACCATTCGCAATAGTTGAAAAATGGCAAAAAAATTTTCTTAATCGTATTTTTGCTAACAGCGACTTTATAGTTCTGAACGCGCTTTTACCTTTGTGCAATTGACTCTCGTGCTTGCGGCACTTTGCACGCCGATTCTGAAACCAGACTTGAACCCTCGCCTCGCTCAAGCCGAGTCTCTGGCTGAGCTCTTCCCTCATGAACGCGTCGGGGTAATGCGTCTCGTCGAACAACCTCTCCAACTCGGCCAACTGCTCCAGCGTGAAGTTCGTTCGGGATCTTCTCTGCTTGCCGTTCCCGTTCCCGCTGTTGCGGCAGTTCGATCCTGCAAAACACAAGGCACGAGAATGTCAACTCAGTCTCCTCGATTTGACGCGAACTCGCGAGGATGAGTCAGAGTTCTTAGGAGATTTAATTCACCGGCAATGAGAGAGGGGAAATTCAAGATTAATCTCGGCGAATCGTTCACAGATCATTTCTTTCCGTCTTCTGACCGGCATCAACATAAATTCCTTCCTTTTACGAGGATCTTATTCAAATTACGCGACGAGAAGAACCAGCGATTAGTCGACATCAGAGAGACGCGTCTTCTCTCTCGGTGTACGATTTATATCTCCTTCTCTTCCGGACGGATCTCCTTCCTCGAAAACATTGGAAAACTCTTTTCTTTCTCGGCTTCTTTTTCGAGACGAACGAGATCAACGCCACCACGATGTGACAAAATTGCCTCGATTTTCCTGCGACAAATCGATGCGTCGCTTCGATAAAACTCGACTAGCAAGCAGAATGATCCAACTTGGATCCTTTGATATGATGCAGAAGTTCAATCGCGATCTACACTGAGAACGACGAAATTTTTCAAATTTTTCAACCTGCGATTTTCAGAAAGTATATTGAAATAATCTAAAAATTCAACAGTGATTTTAAACCTTATTTTATAACATATCCAATAATCCAGTAAAGTGTGGTGGAATGCTATACATAATCTTACGTCACATTTCTCGCATTTCGTAATAATGCAGTCTACACACTGCATTTTGCCCCTTTTCCAAATTGTTGTACGCAGACGGAATTTTTGTAAAATCTGTTTTACTGAATATAAATGGAGGCGCCTTTAGTTTCGAGCAGTGTGAAGTGAGCGCCATGTTCGCTCTGTTTCTAATCATCCTGTCGTCACCTTTTCCTTTTTTTTTTTTT